AGCTATGATTCGCACTAGTGGATGAAAGAGGCACTACATCATGGGATGAACGTTGTAAAGTGTTACAGTATCCTTTGGGTCGGTTCTGAGTAGGAGCTGGAGAGGAAAGCGTCAACACTCCATGCTTCAGCAGGCTTTGGGGAGCTCCGGAGGCAGGTCAGTGGCGGACACGCGGTATTGCACCTTGGTGTTGGTGATGGCGCCGTGCTTCTGGCGCAAGTGAAGTCGCAGCTGGCTTTTGTGGCGAAAATGCAGGTTACACTTCTCGCACTGGAGGGACATCAGAAGCAGACTGTTAGCTGTTGTCAACCCAAGAACTCTGTCAGGGCTCAAAGACCCAGAGAAGGAGATTCTGCCTGTGAGGGACTAGCGAGGCTCTTTCCTTGCAAAGGTCGGGTGAAGACCCCATATCAATCATGACTTCTACGAGGGATAAGTCGGCATCGTGGTGGCACCCATGCCTTCCCTTGCTTGAGATGCCCATCCCTGATTTCACTGCACCAGTGCAAGTCCTATCCAAAAACATCATTCAGGTGCCAACTCTCCTAAGCATTGATGCATTTCTGAATCTCCCTAGGATAAAAATAACCCCTCTTTCCTTGAGATTGTAGATTTATCGTCTTGCCACATAGCCGTCCTTGTGTATTCACAATCTTATCACTAATATTCATAACCTTCCTAGTGCCTAGGAGAACAGTATGCGATAAGTCTGAATACATTTAGACAAATGCACTAGATCAGTCTAAATTCATGGATGTTCTAGACTTTAGGATACTTTGCACTGCAGTGAGACTTCTTACTAGGACATATCTCTTAGATAAGCCAGCAAAGCATTAGCAAATCGATCTACTTTTCACTTTGATTCAATGAATGTATGGTAATACTTCTGGTGGGAAAAGTTACTTAAAACTAATGAACTAAATGTAACTAAAAGTACATTTAAAAGTAATGGGCTAGGGCTAGGGATTTAGCTCAGCGGCACAGCGCCTGCCTGGCAAGTGCGAAGTCGTGAGTTCGATTCCTGGTACCAGAAAAAAATAAAAAATAAAAAAAATTTTAAAAAAAATAAAAGTAATGAGTTAATGGTGTAACTTAGACTCGATCCTAAGACTCGAGTTAATGGTGTAACTTAGACTCGATCCACAAACAAGCATTTTTTAGGTAAAAACTGAGCAAATCCAAGTACAACATGGACTTTATTGATTCATTAGTTGTGACAAATATATCAAAATGTGGAAGATGTCAACCATACGGGAGTCTTATGTATATAACCTTTGCAAACTTTGTGGAAATGTATACCTTTTCTGAGATAAGTTTTATAAACTATATTCAGATACAGAATATATTTTAAGGTAAAAAGAGAAATGGAATTAGAAAATTGATAAATAAAATGGGCAAGACAGTGAGTAAAGAACCCCAGCGCTAGGAGAGCCAGGTCATTGTATGTCTGTCACCTATTGTTTCGGATCCTAACCATGTTATTTCTCTTTCTCTGCATCCTAGCTCTCCCTAAGGTAAGGGCCTGGGTCAATAAATGCTGAAGGTTACTTTCAACTCTTATACCTTCTGCATCTAAATTTCTAGCAAATCATGATATAGCAGCTACTTATTGGATTCTTAGTATGTGCATGAACTATCCTGAACACTTAATAAATTGTTTAACTTAGTATTACCACTAAGGTAAATTCCATTTTCAGGTTCATTTTATAGATGAGGGCATTAAGGCACTACAAGGATAAATAATTTGTGCAAGCACAAATAGCAAGCACTCATCCAAAGCCTTAAGAACAAGTGAGCAACCCACATTTTGCAGGCTAACCTCTGGGTTGTGGATGAACAGTTCACTTAGTGTTCTTTGCCCATTCCCACCACAGTGATGTGAAAACAGCCATAGACAACATGTAAACAAATTAGTACGGCTGCATTCTATTCCAGTAACATTTACATTTACTGAAGTTTAAATTTCATACAATATACGATGTCACAAAATACTGTTTTGGGTTTGTTTTTATTAAAACTCACTTTTAGCTCATGGAATGTTAAAAAAAAAAATTAGCCTGCAGGCCACTGTTTGCTGAGACTGTGTGGGGCATGACAGTTCCAATGGCCTTTCATAGCCTTGTGCCACACAGCTGACCATCTCTGTTTGCTTGAAGTGGCCTTGAAGTGGTGGGTTCTGTTTTTCTCTTAATAACATCACATTATCTTGATTCTCCTCCTACTCCTAAAATAGCTCCATTTCTTTTTCTTTTTCTTTTTTTTTTTTTTTGTCCCCAGAATCGAACTCAGGACCTTGCGCTTGCCACACAGGCGCTTGGGCCGCTGAGCTATATTCCTGGCCCAACAGCTCCTGTTCAAACACTTCAGCTGCTCGTAAGTGTACCGCTTACCCAGGGTACGGCTGTGCTGTAGGCACTCAGTAAATATTTGTGGAATGAATGAATGACCCCTAAATCTATGGATCTGCAGACTGGACTGCTTCCCTAAGGCTCAGATGACCCAGCCCAGTGCCTCCATTTTAAAGAGACCTAGGCTGAAGTCAAGCAGGGTGTGTTTGATAATCCTGGTCTCCCAGCCATTACTTCAGCAGGCCTCTCACTGTGTACCTAAGATGGGAGCAAAAATAGTCCTGCTACCCCAGCCCTCCTCCCCAGCCAGCCACACGCGGCTTACGTACATGGTAGGGTTTCTCTCCCGTGTGGATACGCAGGTGGCTCTTCAGAGTCTGAAGGTGCCGGAAGCGAGTCCCACAGATTTCACAGGGATAGGGCTTCTCCCCAGTGTGGATGAGCACGTGGGCACGGAGGTGGGCCACCTAAGGAGGAGCACAGGCATGAAGGCTCTGCCAGAGTGGGCCGCAGACCTCCCAGCAGCCGCTCATCCATGTGCGGAGCCCCAGGGGTCTGTTCATAACACTGCTGGCTCCGCTCACCTGTACAAATCTGGCTCCACAGGTTTCGCATTTGTAGGGCTTCTCTCCAGAGTGGATTCGAGTATGGGTTTTCAGGTTCGCCGGCCGGTTGAACTGAGCCCCACAGATGTTGCAACGATAGGGTTTCTCACCTGTTATCAAAAAAAGAGGAAAAAGGAAAGCCATGTCAACGGGAAGGGTCTCCCGGAGATTTCAAGGCCAACCCCCACCCTCTGAGGCTGCTTGTGCTTTGTTTCCTCCTGGGAGATGTCAGGGAGAGAGAGAGCCCAGGGATCTGCCCCTGGCCTGCCATCTTTCCCACACACAGACTGGCACCATCTGCAGAGGACCAGCCCAAGGAACAAGCAGTGGCATCAGGATGGGGTGGGAGGAGGCGAGGCATGGGGCAAGAGGGGCAGATTCCAGGAAGCCTGGGCTTCAGTACCAGTGCTGTCCCTGGGAGCACCCGTCTGCAGGACTTGGGCAAGACACTGCCCTTCTCTGGGCCTCAGTTTCCCTCTCTGAATCTTTGAAGCTAAGTCAGATGACGTGGGAAGGTCTTTCTGCCTCATTCATTCGATAGGACTAATGCCATACTCCACCCCCTCAGCGGGGAGATACAATCAAGTTGCTCTAGTTTCTCTCAGAACAAACATACTTTCCCACTTGTGGCCACTGAATTTGTAGGTGGGGTGGGGCCTGGGTTTGAGTGGAGGCTCAGGCAAAGGAAACCAATTGGAAAGCTGCACCTTCCTCTGTGGAAAGTTCCTGGGAGGAGGAAGCCACTTAAAGATTTAAAAGAATAAACTGTGGGCAGCAATCAGGTTGTGAGGAGTTACTGGATAAGGAATATGCACTGATAAGCAACAAGTCCTTGGGGGACATTAAAAGGCCTTTCACTTTTTCCTGGCTTGGCAGAAGCACACCACATTGTCTCTATCAGCCTCAGTTTCTTCACCTGTACAATGGGAATAACCCTTCTGACCCCAGCAAAGGCAGAGAGGCAGGACAGAGTCTCAGAGGAAAGACACAGAATATGGGGAGTGGATAATTCCCTCAGCAAAACAGGACGAAGCTGAGCCCCTCATTCAGGCTAGGATGGGGCCTATTCCCTGCCTCACCCAACTAGACCCCAAGGCCCCTGCGGCTAGCTCTAGGATCCTCTGCCGTCCTCCCCTAAGAACCTTAGCGTGCTCAGGTGGAGGGGGGCATGACCATACCCGTGTGGACGGTCTTGTGGCTGGCGAGGTTGCCTTTGTAGCGGAAGGAGGCCTGACAGCGGTCACACTTGTAGGGCTTGTCACTGTGGGTCTGCAGGGTGTGCCTCTTGAGCGAGGCCTCCTCAGAGAAGCGGCAGTCACATTCATTGCAGAAGAAGGCCCCGTTCTCTGTCGGGGGTAGAGGACACCGCGTCAGAATGAGGCAAGGAGGAAGGTCTTAAGGGTCCTTCCTCAGGAGCCCCAGAGCCCCCAGCTAACTAACGCTCACAGGAGCTCAGAGGAAAGGGCCTATGGGATTCTATGTTTCTTAGCATTAAGATCTCACGCACGGAGGAGAAGGGACAGATCAGACACTAAGGTAGAGCTGAAGTTCTGACCAACAGCGCTCAGATGGTCTACATAGGCTCAGCAGTTTTTCCTTTTCCTGGGACCTCTGAGAACTCACTTTTCTTATAAGTACATAGTTTATTTACATTCGAACTCAGAAGCCCTGGGGCAAGGCCCTTCACCTCTGGAAGGCTTTCTCTGCTCTTTCTCCAAAGTCAGGATAATAAATCCCTCTCCTGCCTGCTTCACAGGAACATACTGTATAACACAAAATAAAACGCAAATCATTACAGAGGAGTGCGATATAGGTCAAATTCAGATCCACTTAGAGGTCACTGAAGTAAGAGTTAATGAGGGAGACTCCATGGTCATCCTTGCACCTATTTGGATTTTTATGTCTCCAAAACACTTCTGTGACACTGGGAGACCAAAAATGACAGTGGAAGTAGAAACAGAAGCCCAGAAAAAAGGAACTGGAGTGCAGAGCAAGGCACATAGCTGGGGGACAGAAGGGGATAGTCCCTGCTCTTCCCTGACTAAAGATCTGTGAGCCTGGGTCAAATCTCTCTGAATAAGGAACTCATTTCCTTTTTCTCTTGCTATAAATATTTGAAAATGGCGTGCTATGGGGAGTTTACCCTGATATGTATGATGGGGCCATAATATAACAGCCACGGTGGGTGAAGAGTTAAACCTGCTTATCTTGTAAACACCAAGGATGTTGATTACCAAATATCCAGAAACATTCATTTAACCATTGAGTTCAACTAACATCATTCAGCTAACAATTACTGAGTACCTCCTGTGTGGAAGGGACTTACTAGGACCCACAGAGAATGCTGGAAGGACTGAGGTCAGGTGCTTCTCCTTAGAGAACCCAAAGCCTAGCACGGCAGAGAACAACTGAGCAAGCTCTATAAGCAGGAGCCAGCTTCCTAGCTCCCTTTGCTGGAATGACGCTGGAAAGATCGCCCAGTCACTCTCGATTACAACAGGTTCACTCCAGTACCTGACCCCTTGCTCTGGCCAAGCCAGTTTCCTGAGACGGGAGGCGTAGGGCCATCCACGGTGATGTTAAGCGCCCGTGGACTTCTAGTCAAAAACTTCCTCCAGTGAGGGACAACAATACATACAAAATAGAAACACAAACCCGAGGGCACTTCCTTTGGGTTTGGAGAGGGAAGGTGAGGCAGGGAAGGGACTCACCACAGCTGGAATCCGAGTACTCAGACTGAGTCTCCCCCATCTCCTCGGGGAATGTGGGGCCAGCGGTATGCAGGCACATCTCTGCGTGCTTCGGGGACTGAGAGCCGCACGACGTGCACTTGGGGGGGTGCATATAGAGCGGCGAGTGGCCCTCACTGCTGCTGCGTGGGGAGCCTGTCAGGGACCTGCAGGCGGGAGTAAAGACAAGCTTGGCACCTGGGTGGGGGAGTCCAATCCACTTCCCCTGCAAGCATCCTCCCCTCCTTGCGTCAGGCAAGCCTGGACCAGAGCTTTCATGCAGCCCCAGGGTCTTGGATCACCCTCAAGCCGGCCTCCAAATAGCATCTGCAGGATCAAACGGAGCCCAAATCCTTCTCTTGTGCCCAGTTCCTTCCGTGGGGTATGGCTGCCAACACCCTCTCTCAGTATAAGGGAAGTGTGAGGGTCGCTTGCCATATCGAGACCACAGGAAGTGCCTTTGGAATTTGTGGAATATTCTCCTACCACAGAAGGGCACGATCGCTCTTGCTATATAAAAAAGATACTTAAGGGTTACATATTTCCTTACTCAGGCTAATTTGCTCCATAAGCACTAAGCCTGTATCTTTAAGAGGCTTAACATTTCAGGCAAAACATAAAAAAAGAGTACACAGCCCCTGTACCCATCACAAGACGTGAACCCAGACCTCTGCCCAGGAAATTCCTGTGCTCAGACCCCACCAGCCTCTGAAATCACCTGTTAACGATATTGTTGAGCCGGCTGGCCTGGGGGATGGTGGAGTCTTCCCCACTGGCAGTGAGCTTGGTCGGGGACTGGAGGTCAAGGTTCTCAGGCTCCATGGGTGGCTGGCAGGCAGGTGGGGCAGTGTAGGCTCTCGGAGAGAGGCGGCTCAGCTCAGCCTGCTCGGGTCCCTCTGGCTTGGCATTCTGGTTGAGACTGTTGAGCACAATGAACTTGTATTTCTTCCAGTTGCAGGCTTTGGGATCAGTGGGACTCTTGGCTGGAGGGGAACCAGAGGCCTGAAGGATACAGGCATTCTTGCTGCTGCAGGACTCCGTGGGTGAGTTGGGCTGGCAGTCAGATTTCTGAGGGCTCTGTGGACTGACCAGACCCTTCCGGTTCAGGGGTGCATTGGGAGGCTCAAAATGCAGGGCAATCTCATCCTCTGAAGAGGGTCTCTCTTCTTCTTTGCTGGCCTTGTCACAGGAGAAGTACGGGGCACTCCGGGCCGAGGGGGCAGCAGGCTTGGGGCCCTCAGCCACGCTGTAGTGCATGTCACCTCGTGCCTCCTCTGGAACTGCCTCCTTGGGTGAGTAGAGGCTGCCGTGGCACACACTGGGAGACACCTCCAGGGCTGGCCGGCTGTACTCGCTAGGGACTGGCCTGGCACTTTCACAAGGGTGAGCACGCTCCTTGGGGAACGGGTTGGCCACAGGCATCCGGGCATCTCGTAGCTCCTCATCAGAGAAGAGGAAGGGGCTGACCGGAAGGTGACTGTACATGGGGTAAGAGGCTGGTGGCGTGGACAGGCCCCCGTACAGGCTGGGAGCAAAAGCTCTGCTCTCACACCCCGGGGTATTCCTTAGTGGCAGGTTGTTCTCCACCACTTCTCGACTCCGGTAGGCCATGATATCTTGGGGCATCAGCATTCGGCTGTTTAGAAACTCTTCGCGAGAAGGTTTGATGGCAGAAACCATCTCTGCTTCACTGCGGGGGAGAAAACACCGGGCACAAAGTCAGAGCTGTTAAGCAAATGACCTGCCAGTGACACTGTTATGTAATCACATCTGTGCTTGAGTCAGCTAGATATAGGGGATGTGGCTTTGGAATAGGGAAACGCAGGAGAAGACATATACACTAGAAGTCCAGCAACTTAGCTTATAGTGGAGGGGGGGACTGAGGCCCAGAGAAGGAGTGAATTATCTAATCTGTGGCTGATTAGACATGATTTTTTGAGTTTAAGGCGCATATACTCATGTCTGTGAGCCTGTAACTCTTCTGATGTTAGAGAATATTTAATGGCTTACATGAAGCTTTCAAAGCCCTTTATCAAGTCATGCATGCAAAATCCTGCAAGGAAGGAAAGGAAGGAATTTTACACACACAGAAAGGAGGGAAGAATTTACACAGCGCTGCAGTATACTTTCAGAGGGTCATAAACAAACTAGTTCCCTATTAAAGAAAGAACCTGCCCCATATGCTAGATGGATTCATGGGAAAGTTTATGGTGGAGAACAGGCAATAAATGCCAGTGCAAGAAGCCATGGTGGGCAGACCCACTTGTGGTATTTAGCAGCTATGTAATCTGGAGCAGGTTACTGAACCATTCTAAGCATAGGCCTGGCCTGTAGAAAGTCCCCAGAAAAGACAGCAACGATGATCTCACCACCATGATTGTCCACAGGAGACAAAAGACTGTCGCTGTAGACACTTGAAGGGACATTATTATGTGTGGGAGAAAATAGGCCAGCCCAATGTGATCACAGTTAACAGAGCTAGAACTGGTGAGCAGAAGCCAATGGAGCCAGATTGCAACGTGCCATAAAGAGGAGCTTTCTGACTATCCAAGGTGGACTGTGCAGCTCTGGGAACACTGAGTTCTGGGCTCAAACACAGGCTGGAAAAGCCTTCTGTGGAGTAAGGATGTCATCTCCCTAGAGCAGCTGGGTCAAATGGGTCAGAAGAAATTAAGCCCTGAGTCTCTGTTCCACTTAGTAAAACTCTTCGCTTCTTTGTGCTTTTGGTTCCTCACCTCCCAATGGGGATTATGTCTTCCCTTCCCTTGAGTTCCCGTAGACCCAGCGAACTCTTTTAATTCACTGTGTCTTCCCTAAGTAGCAGCAGGACATGTAAACGATGAGTAAGGCAGCCTCAGAATCTGGTAGGGAACTAAGGACTAAGACATGTGTATAAATAGTTGTAACAGAAATCTAAGTGAGAACTAAAATATATATGCAAATAGTAAAAGAGAAAGAAGGTGGAAGAACAAGCAGAGTGCTCCAGATCACAGAGGAAAAGCTGACAAAGGAAGAGCAGTGATCTGAAAACTTCCACATGGAGGAACTAGAATCTAATCTGTGTCTTTCAGGATGGATGGGAAGAAAGGGCCTATTTCTGGAAGACAGAAAGAGGTAGTAATGCATAGGACATATCTGCACCGCTGTGAGGAGTTAAGTCTGCCCACAAGGCAAGAGTTAAGAAGTGTGCAATAATAGTGGAATGTAGCTTGTGGCACAGTACAGGGAACTGCATTTTTCAACATGCATGAGGAATCAAGGGTTTCTCACCTAGAATCATCCCTTCTGCCTCCAAGTCCTCCACCTAGGTGGCAGCTTACCTGGCCTTGATAAACTTCCGACAAGTGTCCACAACATGCTCCATCTGCAGGTACATGGCGGTGGCCATCACAGCCATGATGTTGCCTTCCCGAAGGTTGAGCCGAGATGTGTACATGAAGTCCAAGAGGATGCAGAATCCCTCGGGGTTGATCTCAGGATCCAGGTTGATCACGCTGAGGTTGCACTTCAGTTGGTCTGTGAAGATGCTATAGAACAGGCCACTGTAAAACAAACAAACGATCCACTCTTACAAATGTATCAAATCCGTGATCATTTATAGCTGCTCAACTCATTTCCCTGGGCCTCATCCCAGCACTTGCCCGGAAATTAACAGTAACTTTTGTTTATGGAGTATGTACCAAATGCCAGAAATTCCTTAAGTGCTTTATGTATATTGTTATCTTCTGTTCCTGCAAGGTAGACACTACCACTCTCCACCTTTTTATGTGGGGCAACTAACATCTCAGAGGGTAAGTAATGTTCTCAAAGTCAGAGACTGTTTTCCTTTTAGTCTTAACTGCATGGATTGCCAGAGTTAAATTTAGCACACATGTGCAGTAACTATTCTTAGTCTGTATCTTCGGTATAAGTATTTCCCTCCTTGTTATATTGCATTATCCTTCGTTTTAGAAATCTATTTTTTAGGAGTAAGTTGGATGTAGATGTCAAATAAATAAAAATATACCTATAATTACACTTTACTGCTTTTCTCCAACTCCAAAGACGACCAGAAGGTCAATTATTCCTACCAGATTCCAGTAAAACCTGAAGATATGCTCCCAGGTACCAGGTAGCCCAGTGGAAGACAAAACAGAAAGCTAAAATTCCAGGTTGTCCTCTCATTTCTACTCTCTCTAGATGTGTTACCAAAGGTGAGGCAGACTTTTACCAATAAATAGCTATGCAACCTTGGCTAAGATATTTAACTTCACTATATCTTGATTTCCTTACCTATAAATAAGCAGGAATAACAGTATTGGCTCTATAGGCTTGTGGTAACCACAAAAATGTCCAGAGGATAGAGGATGCCTGCCATGCACTAAGCAATCACCAATCATTAGCTATTATTTTTATATCTCTGTCAGCCTCCATTGTCTCTGTTACTTAAAAGAAAGTATTTGTTGAAGTTGGATGTTTTTCTAACCACAGTAGGGATGTGTCATTCTCCACCATTTTACCTGTGCATTGCTTGTATCAGCCATATGGTGGAGGTATAATGCATCTCTAGGAAAGAGGGCTACTAGAAAGATGTATGGAGATGATTTAATATAATGTTGCTCTGAAAACTTGAATGACTTATCAAATATGAGGAATTAACTGTCTCACTCTAACTCAATGTATTCTGAACACCCATGGAAATACAGTTATAGTATAAAATAAATAGTTACAGCATAAAAAAAGCAAAAAAAAAAAAACCCTCAGATTAATTTGCTTAATGTAGTTAAAGATTCTCCTTTTCTTCTTTTTTCTTTTTAGAACTGGCTAACTGAAGTCATTCTCTGTGTTTGTCCCAAACACATCCTTTCTTGAGGGCAGTATGTGATTTCTTCCCCTACTGTGCCCTTAGAACAGAAACCCTTTCCTTTCTAAAAGTATTTAATCATTAGTTTTCTGGGAGTAACAGACCAGGCCATGTGCTGAGATCTGGAGACAAGAGGGCATCACCCCAGAGGTGGCAGAAGGCCTAGAGCCTGTCCCACCTTGCTAGCTGCTATCACTTTCATTCCCATATTAGCAGTCACCCTTCCTCACCTGCAGGCCATGAGGACTGTCTTATGGGCTCTAAACTGTTCCCGGCTGACCACAATGACAACATCAGTCAAGATGTCACGGCTCCGGAGGCGATTGAGATTGAGCAGAACGTCGCTGGCATGGCGGGTAAACTGGATACAGCTGTCAGCCGGCGAGGCCATTTTGTCTTCACCTGAACAAAGGAAGTCAAAGTCCTATTAGTCCTCAGGAACTGTCCTCACCAGGAGGACCAAGCAGGTGGCTTATGCTGCTAAGGTATAACAATTCAGGTCCCTCATGTTTTGATCATTGAACAACTCATAACCTATCTCTGACTATTACTCTTCATAGCTATAAAACATAGGGCTCTCTTTTGGAGAAAAGGGAAGGGAGAGACTCTGTTGAATATTTTTCCCACATACCAGATACTCTGCCAAGGACTGAGAGTGAGTGAGTATGTCGCAACAGAAAGAAACTTCCTTTTCAGGGCTACCAGGGTAGCTTTGCCTTTGGCCAGCTGTGTGACTTGGGCCAGGTTGTTTTCTGTTTCTGGGATTTGGTTTTCCAAATGGAGGACAGTAATAGCTATATTTGTTATTTTAAAAATTAGAGATAGGTCCCTAGATTATAGTAGGTCATCAAAAAAATTACAGTTACTTTCATCAAAATCTAATTTAATTATCCCAGCCACAGCCTGTCTCTCTCCATTACTGGCCTTTAGAGTTGTTTTGCTTTGTACTTGAAATACCTAGAACCAGTACATCCTTAAGTCACGATAGCAGCAAAGTTAGTCTGAATAAAGACATGCGTTAGGGAATCACTGACCATAAAAGGGACAGGGAAAAGGGGCAGGGGCTGGAAGAAATATAGAGGGAATTGCTAATCTTTGTCCCTTTAAACAAAAGATGTCAAAGTTCACAGAAACACATGCATTAGCAAAATTAAAAAGGAACAGTTTGTCCACACAATTTTAAAGCATATAATTAGACCTACTTACCACCCAATGCCTTGCTTCACAGTCCAAAATGTTGCTTAAAAACTGCAAAGAAGAGGAGAGAGCAAACAGGAGTTGATTTAATGAATATAAGATTGTCCACTATAGTCTTATTTTAGGACACACTATTTAGTCTTGCTTTGATAGCTGCAGCCTGCCAGCTGGTGTGGTTTCACCACAAGCTAGCAAACATATTCCAGTTTTGCTTTTACAGAAAAAACAGGCACCCAAAGTTACTAATGTACTACAAATGTCTTTACCCCGAGCACTGGGAATACTATTGCATACATTAGTTACATGTACATACACATTTCCTTTTCAAGGTAAGAAGTTTATACCACCCCAAGGCCACTTGAATTTCTGGGAAAGAAACATAAGAAAAGTAGATCTTTCAATATCAATGATAATGGGCCTTCAGGGGCTAGAAACACTGGCCACTACTCAAAATCTGCTAAAATATTATCTTTCAAGTTGTAGAATGATTACACAAGGCCGATAGATTCAGTATCTTTATCCTTATTTCACTAGTGACGAAACTGACCCAGGGGTTCAAGTGGCTTGGCTAGGACAAACAACTAGGCAGTATTTCTTGATTCCCTGGAACACTTAAGGCAGAATACAGAGTCTACAGAATACAAGCTGAGATGGCATGTCTTCACATTCCGTGAGTATCTCTGCCCTCTTTTTCAGTTTCCTCTGTTTTCCCTGCCGGGTCTAAGACCAGACAGAGTGTTACAGCTTCCAAGTTTGTGCTTCTGCCTCCAGGTGAAAGATTTAACTGTGTGGTTTAGCTGAGAACCGGCCAGTGAGCTCTAAACCTTAAAGAGATTTAATGAAATGTGTACTCTTTCCAAATTGGCTTCTCTAAAACAATAATCACGCAGGGAATAGGTATAAGACTCTCCTTTATGACGGAATGTGGGCTGTAAAGGAAAACCATAGAGTATCAGAACTCTCTCCTCACTCGAAAAAAGCATAGCTCTTTAGAGCTGTTTTCCGGGTAAAAGGGCCTGAGGCCGGGGAGGTCATGTTGGGTCGTGTAGATGGTTGACGGCCTGGCCCTAGGTCTCCTGGCTGAAATTCTTGTCCTCCCTCCAATTTGGCCTACGTGCCGCAGAACATGCAAGACAGCACCCTGAGGTGGGTGAATCTCATTTTAAAGTTCCTTCCCCTACACAAATACTTTGCTCCATTCCAGGCTGCTGAGTCTTACCAAGTGAGCACTCTAAAATGAGAGGTTTCTTTGGGTCTGTAACCAAACACACTGACATTTCTCTGTGGTCCCGAATGCCAGCCACTCATTCTCCTTGGCTTCAAGGTTAGTGCGTGCACGTGAGCGAATCAGGACTGTGGGAAGGACTGACAAAAGAAGCTGTCTCCTCCTTTCCCATCCTAACTCAAGATAAGATACTAACATGGTCCTAACCACAGCTCCCTGATCATCGCCTTTGAAAACGAATGTTGAAGACCCATGAAGTTTATTTAGAAACTTTCGCCTCTTCCTTCATGGAAGAAGTCCTCAAACATGTCTGGAATACCTCGGCTGTCCTTCAACCAGCTTTCAGCTACCAGCTGTCCTGTGGATGTCCAGTTCCAGACTTTTGGAACCACAGGAAGCCGAGATTTGCCATTTCACCGCGACAAGTGGCAATGACTCATTCCGGAGGCCCTTCGAAACAAACAAAACAGTTGCCCTGTGTCCACTGTTAGCTCAGATTTGGGCTTTTCACCTTAAGCCTCTACTTGGCCTGGATGAAAGGAAAGCAATAGAGCGGGCCGCATCCCTGTGAAGTTCGCCGCTTTGTAAACCCCCCTGGGTGGTGCAGGTGGGAGAGCACCCCTGGAATTTGGTTTGGATTTTTTCTTCCTACGAACCACTGACCTTTCCCACCCTTTACTGTACCTTGATAACAGCCCTCATTTACCGTAGAGGAAACTGGGAATAAGCCCTGCCCAAGGTCTAAAAGCCAGTCTTTAATAAAACCTTGGACAAACCTCGTCGACTAGCGGGAGTCCTACCAATGCCACTCACAAGACTCAACCCACAGACAGCAAAGAGAACAGAACTGTCATTCAGAAACTAAAACCTGCAGCGGCCAGACTTGGACCCGACTCCCCAGTCCCCCTCTCTTGGCTGCCCGAACCACCTAGGAAGAGTGAAACGCGGTCTGATGGAACTCCCACACCCTTTCCTCCTCTCGAGCTTTCCTCGAGTATGTACAGTGAAGCACCCGAGAGGGCAGTTTGAACAGGAGCTTCTGGGAGAAGAAAAAAGGAAGTCTCCCCGCCCCTCCAAAAAAGGCAAAGAGAGAAAACAGCAGAAGCGAAAGGAAGCATGAGCAGGGAGAAGAGGCGAGGTTAAAAGTAAGCAGAGAGCCCTTCCCTCCCTCCTCCCCTGGGCCGGGACCAGACAGCGCTCCGCTCTGCGCTTGCTCTTTGCGCACCGCGGCGCAGCCCGAGTGCCGGAGCGACTCGCCCTGCCAGCCTGCGCAGACTCGCCCACCCCAGCGCACCCTACCTGTCTTCCAGGCACCGCCCACCCCCGGGCGATCGGCTGGCACCGCCGGCACCGCTGCCCGCCCTCCTCAAAGCCCTCGAAGGAAGGCGCGCTGGAGGCCGGGTGGTATGACTGCGGCAGCCCTTAATTTAGTTGCATTCAAATAAAGGTTGTCATGCACTTCGGAAGCTAACATTGTGTGAGCCGCCCCCCCACCCCCCAGGCCGTCAAGGCAGGGGGTAGTGAGGGGAATGGCACAGCCCTCTCATTCCCGGAACCTAGTCGATCTCCGCTCAGCGGATTTCACAGAACACGCTCTGCCTAGCGCCCGTTCCAAGGAGAAGTCACTTTCCAGGAAGCTGCCGGCCCCCGACGGCCGCCAGGATCGCTGCCTGCGCGACGCGGCCCGCCGGGGATTCACCGGGGAGGAGGGCCGCCCGGGAAGGCTCTCGGGGAACGCGGTACACTTTCCCCTAAATCCCTCGGCAGCGCGAGGTCCAGGGCTCTGAGTGCAACTAGTCCGCTCCCCTCCCCCAGGCACACATACAAGCAATTTATAGATGGGGAAAATCAGACAACTGAGTAGCAGGGCTGAATATAGAACCCCGGCCTTTGGCTACGATCCGAGGCTCATTTGAGGACCAGGTTGCCCAACTCTGGCGTTTGCTGGGCGCCTCTTTTCGCCTCTCTTGCCCTCCTCTCTCCTCTCTCATCCCTTGCTACCCCCTCCCCCGCACTTTAAGGGGCTGGCAGAAGCAAGAGGTCAAGGTCAAAACGCTGGAAACCCTACGGCTGAGTCCCGGGCAGCGCCGCGGAGTTGGAGGAAAACTAAACCGAAAGCCCCTTCCGCCTACGTTGGCAAAACCGGGGAACCCAGATCCGCTGGGTTTCCGCCCCAAATCTTTAGAATCGGAGCTACCAGGCAAAACCTGGCCGGGTCTCTGGATTTCGGAATCCTCTTTCCTTGAAACCATAGAGACAGAGAGTTCGGACTCAGGAGAGGACCGGGCTCCGACCCCAGCGCGTGCGCGCAGGGGCGCACTCCAAAGTTACACCGCCTTCGCGGCAATGAAGCCCCGGAGGGCCGTCTCCTAGCTGCTTCGGACAGCCGGGGCCAGGAGACGATTTGGTGAGGTCGGAGTCGGGGGAGAGGGGGCAGTCTTAGCTTTAGAGGCCTCAGTCTAGTCCTAAAACTAGGGGGCGGTGTCACACGCGGCGCTGCGCACCCCTTCCGCAGCGGAGGCGGGGTCAGGGTCTGTGCTCAAAGGCTGGGGCCTCCGGCAACAAAATGCTTTCTCCTCCCTTCTCCTGGTAGGATAAAAGCAGAAAAGGAGACTGAGATTTTAATTTGGGATAGGGGCGACAGTCTGGGCAATTAAAATTAAGTAAATGCACTTATTGTAAAGTAGGAAACCCGTGGTTCGGGCAACTCAAACCTCGTCGTGTTTTTACCGCTGCCTAACACTAGAGAGAGCCCTCGGTCCAGGCCTGAAACCCGCAGCGCCCTCCTCGCTCGGCCCGCCCCTCCTCCTCACTGACCTAGTTTGGCTACAGTCTCCGGATTTGGAGACCGCCTCTCCCCCTTTCCGCTGACCTCTCTATCCAGGCTGGCTATTCGATCATAGGTGATCTGATAACTCCAGTAAATCGCTGAAACGTCCGAAGGGGTCCCTGAAAGCGCAAAGCAGTCTTCAGGGACAGGGACAAGGAATTTTAATAAGGCTGGGGCCGCCGCAGTGAAACTGGCACCCGGGCTCCCGCCGGACAGGTCCCTTTCCCAGCAGAGTCTAGCTAAGGAGCCCTGAGGGTCCACCCACCCAGGTGTGGCGGTAAGGGTTAGGGTCCAGCCGCGGGTGGGAAGAGGACACTCTGCGTGCTCTTGGCTGGAGGGTAGGGGAGGCGACAGTAGATGAAAAAGCAGCGTTGGACAGCACCATGACCTCAGCACCTGCCTGTGTGACCGAGGTGTTCCAGGACACTATGTCCCGACTTTCAATTCTGTCACTGTTCTTGCCAACAGCGCGGCTCTCGCAAGCCTGCAAGCTTCTAGGAAATGCAATAAAACAGAGGGATGTGTTTTATCACCAAGATCTGAAGAGCAGCAAAGGGCCGCTCCCCGTGCGGCCAGAAGGCCGGAAGACACTGCCAGCAAACGTCGTCCCCTGACACAGCTCTCCCGGCCATCCTGGCTGGACCGGGCTCGGCCTTTGCAAAGAAGGCTGGCGGGGGAGGCGGGAGGCATGATCGCCCCAGGCTAACAATGCCTTTTTAAATTCGATCTGGACACAAGTCAGCCAAGGTCTTTATTCACGTTAATGAAGATGGAAGGCACTAACTGTCCTTGGAAAGCGATGAGTCAAACCTCACCGCGCTTCAAACGCGTCCCCAGATCTGTTTCCAGCACCGAGAGAGGCGCATTTCTCTGACGCGTCCTGCGAGAGGACGCGGTGGGAGCGGCTGAACTCAATTCGGGCGGACCTGGGCGGGGAGACCGAGGCGTCCTGGCCGCGCGAGTGCGCCCGCCGCCGCTAGAGGCCGCCAGCACGCCGACGCGCCTCTGCCGTCTTAAAAGAGCTCTGAGCAAGAAAACTTTACTGGGAAGCGGCACAAATTCTGGGGGACTTACCCTCTGCCTGTGAGCCCCCGGCCGCTCCCCTGCACACACAGACATGCACACATTCGGCTTCTCGCCAGGCCAGTAAGCACAGGACAGAGGGAGGGAGCAAATGTGAGGCTCAAGATCACATGTCCTGCTGCAACCCTTAAGCACTGGGTCTAGCCACCAACCTGCAGGGGCGTACCCCGGAGCTTGGAGACACTTCCCTCCTCGGCACCACTGTAAACTTTTCATGTCTGTTACCAAAAATCTCAGGCTACTCTTTCCACATGAATTTCTACCAAACTGCTTGGAGATCTTGTCTAATATTCACTGGCCGCTACGGTAACCAAAGAGGTTAAAAATCAGGGCTAGGACTGCTGCTCCTTTCTCGTAGATAGTCAAAGGAGCTGACACGAACTGGCCTTTGGCTTTAAGTCACCGCCCTGGAACCTGCAAGTTTAGAATCCGGCTCTGGTTAGGGAACTAACTCACCACTAACATGCCCCCTCATCGTGTCCGTTTCTTCAACTGCGAGAGAGTTTAAGTCCTAAGGACCCTGAGCTTCGGATGGCAGCATCCTCCTAACACCTTCCCAGGGCAGGGAGCACGGCGACAGGTACACGACGTTCTCAGAGGGCTGCTGTTTGTCTTAGTTCACATAGATGCAGGATGGCTGAGCCATTGCGTACGGGGCCGGGCACCCAGGACCCTTAAGTTTTTATCCGTCTTGTCAAAACTTCGGTGGTCTGACGCCATCCCCGTTGGAGAGGGCTCTCTCTGTCAAACCCAAAGTCTGATGAGTATACTGAGAGACCCAGAAGTGCAAAGGTCCGGCCCACGGCCCGAGACCGGGATCTTGACCACGACCCACCACTAGGTGGCGGACTCAGTCCGTCCGAGAATCAACGTTTGGCCAAAGCCTTCGCAGAGATCCCCCACCCGTTTTTTTTTTTAATCCTCTGTCTGTTGGGGGTGGGGGTGTGGTTGCTTCCCAAACCAAAGCTGGAAAACATTTAATTTAGGGGATATCATTCCCTTCTTCCCGACGCTCACGCCTCTAGCAACCACAGCGCAGAATCTGGGAGCTGCTTTCACGTATTTTACGGGATTTCTGCTGCTGCTGCTGTTTTCCTCCCAAGAGCTGAATGTACTGGTGGTAAAAGAAAGGGTGCACTTGCCTCCCAAAAAGCAGAACACCAGCACTCGAAGATATTAGAAGAGATTGCGGCCAAACCCTGGTCGGCTGGCCCCCAAGAAAAAAGAAGAAAAGAAAAGAAAAAGGAAAGAAAAAAAAAAAAAAGAAAAAGAAAAGAAGTCGAGAATGAACTTTTGGTCCCCACGGAAGAAAGCGGAGGAGGGGGCCAGAACCGGGTGCCAGCCGGGCTTGCTGCGCCCCCAGAGCGCAGGGGTGCGGGGCGGTAGGGTCTTTCTGGGGCCGCTGGGCTCGGGCTCCGCCGAGGGGTGGGCGGCAGCAGCTCCTGGCTTCGGCGGGGCGCGGAGAACCCGGCCGCTCGGCCCTGCGCAGCGCCGCACGCACGCGCGCCTACTTGTTGCGCAGCGCAGGAAAACCCAGCACGCACCGCAGTGTTTCGATTGCCAGGGAGCTGCAGGCCAGTCTAGCCCAGCTCCGTGCCATCCACAGACCTGTCCCGCGCCACCACCGATGCTGAAATGACTGCGCTTCCAGCCACTATTAAAAAAAAACAAACAAACAAAAAAAAACACCAAAACATTCCTCCTTGTCTCAACGTCAGGCAGCAGAATCTAGAGGCCCTGACAGGTCAGATCCAAAGGGAAAGACTAGCTACCACGACCTGCAGAACTCAAGGCTACTCAAGTCCAACGGGGCGCCGCATCTGGCGCCCCCTTCCCCTAAATCATTGGACCTGCGTTGCTTACTATGACGCCATCCCTAGCTGGAAAGCAATGTCTTTTTCCCCCTGGAGAGATCAAACTCAAAGTATTTCTTTTCAAAGTTGGTTTTCCCTCCCCTAGATTTTTTTTTTTAAATTTCCGAGGGAAAAATATCTCATTAAGGTCATTACAGTTATTTTTTAAATATTTGACTTTTTCCAATAGTTTCACTCACCGAGGGGTGGCGCTGCAGCACCACTGCCTCTGAAACGCTTGCGTTTTTTTGTGTGTTTTTTTTTTTTTTTTTTTTTTTTTTTTCACAACCAAGAGGGTTCAGAGTGTGGCTACCCAGCAGGACAGGGAGGGAAGGAAGGATTTTGACATCTAGTCATGGCTACCATTTGCTCAACCCATAACTAGAACTCTTGAAGGGCTCAGCAAACGACAGCTTAGGAATTTAAGAGTTCCATCCTTGTCCACCAAACCCAGCATAAATTAGTCTTTTCAAGAAAGCTTCAGAAGTAAAAACCCTTCAAAACTGAGCAAGAGAGAAAAAAGATAACTGGAGAAGTCCCGCTTTGTCGGGCTGTCTCCTCCTTAAAATCACCTATTTTACAGAGTGGCATCAGCTTTGTTGTGGGTATCAACAGACCCTTAAAGTCAGCCAGTGCTCGAGCCTGCTGTATTGGAAAGTCTTCCAAATAGGATACTAGAAAATTCTATTTATAAACTTGAGGGGGGGATTCCCATCTACAGGTTTCTATTTTGGCCTAAAGACCCAATGATAGTCATTTTAGCAAGAGACTGTCCATCCTCTGGCACTCTCTCTCTCTCTCTCTCTCTCTCTCCTCCCCTAGAGACAAACAACATTTCTTCTTTTAAGAATATAGTATATGTTTTAAAGCAAGAATGCGATTTCACCTTGCTGTTTTGAGCTCATATTTGCTACCTCCAGGAATAGCATGTGGACTAGGGCCAGATGAACTTCAACTCGGGCTGCAGATTTACGAGGTTCTGTTTCACTGCCAATGGCTCTTGGTAGTAAATAGTGAGCAAAATAGATACCTGTCTCCTGATGGATCCTCTCTCTCTCTCTCTCTCTCTCTCTCTCTCTCTCTCTCTCTCTCTCGTTATTTATGAAAACCACACACACCTTGCAAAGAAAAAGGGAAACCGGCTGTCTCTGTAGAGGAAGCCAGTGGCATCGCTCAGAGCCACAAACTGTATTTCTAAACAGCCCTTTCCCTGGTTCCGTCTCTCCTGCCCCACTTTTCTTTTTTCTTTTCTGGACAGTAAGAAATGTATCTACTGACACTCACTTCGCATTTTTCTGTGAAGTAAGGCGTCATAGGATTTCCCTCCTGGAAACTATAAACTGATTGAAGAAAAACACAAGCATTAAAAAGATTGCACGACTTCCCTCGGGGAGAAGATTGGTCTCGGAGGTGTCAGAGACCCTGGAACAGCTCTCAGCACAGGTTTGGGGTCATTCTCCCAGGGCAACTGCCAGGACCTGCACTATGCCCACCACCAGATCTCCTCCTTTGAGGGAGGGGGCACGACGCAGAAGATCTTCCTATAAAAATCCGTTGGCTTATGTTCTTGTTTTCCATGGGGGAGTTTTAAAACTCATTATTGCAACACGAGTTTCATTTTTTTTTTTTCTGCCAGAGTTCCAATAACATGGTAGCATAAAGGTAACGCAGCCCACAGCGCTCCAAGACATTTACAGTGCCACGGTCACTACCTCCGGGACTGGGGTGCCCCTCGCTCCTGCCGCCCCCCAGCGCAGCCCATTCCAGAAGCTCCGACTAGCTACCCGCGCTGGCCCTGGGCCGCCGCCGCCGCCTTGCCTCATTTCTACTCCCTGGAGGAGGAGAGCTACAGGTTGCAAATCCAACCAACCTCGCAATCTATTTTTTTTTCTCTTCTCTTCTTTGCAAAATCACTCACAAAGCTCTCCCTTTCGCGCCCTCGCCCGCTCCTCCCGCGCCGCCGGTTCCTCCCAGTCCGAGCCACAAAGTCCCCTTCTCTGCTCCCGGGTCTTGCACTTTAAGGACCGCGGGTTGGAGCTCGGTTTGTCTTTCCCTTCGCCCGGTGCAAGGACCTTGGGAATCTGAAGCCTGGAGTCCGCTATACTCAGGCCCTGTCTGCCTTTTTTTTTACAGATCTTGCACCATGGGAAAAATAAAATAAAATTTAGGAAAGGGAGGCAACAACCGCGGAGAGCCAACACAGTCACGCAGCGCCCAAAATACAAACACCGCGGCCGCCAGAAATCCCGCCAGCTTCTCGCTCCCCGCGGCTGTCCTGTCAAGGCTCCCCGCGTCCCTGCACGCTGGAAGGCGCCGCAGGTGCAAACGCGCACCCCTTTCCGCCCCCACACCCCCAAATTCCCGTCCCGCCATCAGCCTCTCTGCACGGGATGGGCAGAGGGAGCGCGCGGGGTGTCCCGACTCCCTCAACTACAACCAAGAAAGAATAATTTCCAAAAGTATTCAACATCCCCGCCCCCCCTTCATCCAAGCTAAAAACCTCCCCAAAACACAAGAGGAAAGGGACACCGAAAACATTTGTCTCTCAATTAGGAAGATCACGGCTCTGAAAGGAAAAGAGTAGACACGATACTTCATCTGTGTTTATGACCAAAAAGGAAAAACAAAACAAAACAAAACAAAAAAAAACACCCGAGGAAGGAGTTCGGTTGCATTTTTCCTCCCAAATCTCAGCTCGGCTGGAAGGCAGGGATTCTAAAAGACCAAAGTCGGGGGAAGGGAGCCACCCGGGCGGGCGAGCAGGCAAGCGGGCAGCCTCCCGGAGTTGCCCAGGAGCACCGGATCGGGGAAGGAAGGAGAGGCCGGGAGAGGAGAAGGGCGGGAGGGAAGGCGAGACTGGAGCCGGGGAGCAAGGAAGGCGGTTTGCAAGCGAGCAGAGAGGCAAAGAGAACAGCCGCACGAATCCAGCGCGATCACAAGCCGTACGCAAGCAGCAGCAGAAAGCGAGAGCGCGAGCGCGTCCTCTCCGCGGTCCGAGGCCAGACAGCTCCTAGACCGGCCCGGATCACCCCTAAACACTGCCTCGTCCTCTCCGCTCCGGCCGCCCCCTAACTCCGCTCCTTCTCTCCTCCACCTCCTTCTCAAAAAACCAAAACAATCTAAGGGAGGGTGGCTAAAGCCTCCCCAAACCGGCCGATTCACTCAAAGACAACAAAAATAATAATACTAATAAATACGTATAAATCTATGTCCTAGAGTGGGAGAGACGTGGGACTAGTCTTCGGCATTTATTTTAACACCTGACAGCTAGAATAAATAAATATATACATTTATATCAATAGATACACATAGGAAACTTGGAGCCAAAGCATTTGGCAAAAGCGGAAAAAAAAAGAATTAAAAGGTAAAATAATGATCATGAGCAGCGGCGGCGACAGCAGCGGCAACGGCGGCGACGGCAGCGGCAGCGGCGGCGGCAGCAACAGCAATAATCACCTGGTGTCCGGCCTTTCCTAGAAACTTCTTGCATCACCACTTCTAAGAACCCCAGTTCTAAGAATCAACAGAGCTCAATTCTCGGAATTTGAGCTGCGGACTTTACCACTGCTACGTGGCAGGGGAGGACTCCGTGTCAGCTCTCCGCAATTTTTACCCCGCCTGGCCCATAAAATTAGCTCTAAGCCGCAATATTTTCTCACTGTCAGGGATGTTTCGAGTTCTTTATAGGATAAGCGCCTCGGATATGGAGGTTCCCTTCCGAGGGTCGAAGGGACAGAAAGTGGCTCTCCCTGCTCGAACCCCACATAATGGTACAGTCTGCTCCGCCACCGTCACGTGGGCTCCTCCTCTGTGACGTCACGTCTTCACTGTAGCAAAGCTCGGCCTCTGGAATTCTGAGAACTAATTTGCTATTCGGTGACATAAGAGGGGGAGTGCGCTTTGCTTTCCCGGGGTCTGGGGCTAATTCTTCCTCTCTTACCCATAAACTCGGCTCCTCGAACTAAATACACAAAAGGGAACGAGAAATTTGAACCACTGGAACAATGATATTCCGTATAGGAGGGTTAGAGAGGGGAGTAAGGGGAAAAAAAAAAACAATAAACACCACAGCTCTTTCCAGCTAGAATATTAGGCACCACGAGAAAAATATTTGCCAAGCAGTTTTCGGTGGGTCCATTTGCTTTATTTTTATTTGGGACGGGACGGGGAGAGGTGGGGGATGCTTTTGGGTTCTGACTTTTTGTTTTTGGTGTGGTGGCTTGGAATTGCTGGTGGTTATATTTTGATGATTTTCGGATTCTTGCTTCTGATTTTTTGCCTTTTGCAAGTTTGTGGTGTTACGTAAATAATAGGATCCGTCATCAGCTGGGTTTTGGGGTGTGTGTGTGTGTGTGAGTGTGTGTGTGTGTGTGTGTGTGTGTGTGTGTGTGTGTGTTTTCTTTCCCTATCTAATCGCTCAAGCATTTTAAAGATGTATTATTTCCGTACTGGTACTATTGGAAGTAGCTTAATTTCTGGTTATCTGTGCCAATCCCAACCCCCACTTTTTTTCTTCCTTCGCTGCGATTTCCGTTTTCCTTTGGACTTTTACTGAAGGAAGGCTCTCCTGCACTTGAGAGAACTGTTCAAAGGATTTTAGTTCGGTTTATTTCTTTCCAGGACAGCAAGCAGTGGATTTGCTCTTTCTCTTATTGTAGACTCTTAGGAAATTTCTTGTTGCTGCAAGAAAAGCGTGCATTTAGGTATGTGTGTGCGTGTAACCTACAAAATTCTGAGCCAAATACATGTTTGTGTTTTGCCTTTCCTTGAGGTCTTGAATTTTTCTTCCCCGCTGAGCTCGTTTCAAGGTCGTTGTAAAAAATCTCTTCAGTCTGTTGAAGGGATCAGCCGGAGGGAATTCTAAAGGCCTGCCGTGCCAGTATCTCAGATACTGCGTGTATTCAGAACAGACTGTGCTACAGCTAAGGCGCAATCCTAGGAGCACGGTCCTCTCAGCTGTGGAGCAAAGTTGAGGGGAAGAAGAGAGGGGGAAATCTCTCTTCTTCTTTATTCCTTACCTTTAAAAGGCAAACGCAGGGCAGAATCCTTTCACTGTGGGCCCTGGTTAGTTTGTTCAGAGATGCTAGCTTCCCTATTTAAATGTTGGTTGGGGTTTGTTCCCCCTCTTACTCATCCCTGAATGAGGGAGACTCTTGTTTCCTTTATGTCTCTCTGTTAAAAGAAGGGTGTGAGGGGAAAATAATATTTCAGATTCCTCAAGAATTAACCCAAAACATTTGGACCAGAAGCAGATTTCAAAGGTCAGGCTGTTCTGAGCTTTGGCTAGAAGAGTCCTTTAGGCGACTCACGAAATCCTGAATGAGTTCTTAAAGGTTTTAAAAATTTTCTTCACATGTTAATTTCTAGTAAAGATATATCCCCAAATAGTCTGCCTATTGCATCCTCAAGTTTGAGTTTACAATGGGGAGAAGGCTGCTGCTTGTTTGCTAGGATATTGGAGACCTCTTACGCTGACAGTTCCGTAAGAAGTTTCACGTATGCCAAAGAATGCTATTGTCAGTGTACCTCCCCTATACACACACACACACACACACACTCCTCAAAAGGCTGCTGTTGTAGGTTTTAGAACCAGAGGAAGTACAAAAGGGTTACTTTCCACACGGCCTAGAGCTTAAGAAATATGCTTAAGTGTCTGTCCCTGAGAAATGTGAATATTTTAATACATATTGACAGATGGATTACTTGAGCTTCTGCAGGACTTCTGAAAAATATACATAGGCCTAATCCTGTCACTGTCGCTGAAATGAGCATTGTACCCGCAAACACACATGACTTTGTCAAGTGTGGATTCTCGATGCCAGGAGGCAGAATACCTCCCTTTTTATTGAAGTCCTCTTCCCTCTTGTTTTGAAGAGTTTTAAATGAATCCACTGGACCCAAAATGATACCCTGATTTTGCTGAGGTGGTTTTCTTTGTGTATTTATGTCTGATTTCTAGCTATTGTTAAGAATAAGCACTTTAGAGTTTCTCAGATGCACCTATGTGGTTTGGTATGTGAATTATATGACTGTCCTGGTCCTATAATAGGGTTACTTTTGTGATATTTGGCCACTTTTCTTGTCAGAACTGCCATCTGCCACATCCCCGGACCCCCACCCCAAATTTTTAACACGCACAGCGGGTCCCTCTCCTGTTCCCATTGCCACTCCACTCTTAGCCCCATGGGGGCGCTGCCGAGCAAAGGGAAATCTGCTCCCTCAGGCAGAAGGAGCCTAAGTGGGGGCTGGGTAGGAATTCATCCTTCTCCGGCCTCAGCCCTCTTGAATTCTCTGCTCGGAGACTCAGGAAGAAAGATAACCCTCCTTTATAGATAGTTAACCCCAGTACTGGGCACCTCAAACCTTAGCATTTTGTTTCTGATACCAGTGGCCAGAGTCCCACGTTTTCAGTGTGTTCACATGCAAAAAAAATTTGGCCAGAACAGGAGATCCATTGAAAAGGGATTGAGTAACGGGAACTAAGAAAGATTATTGAAAATATTCTAGACACTTACTTTTAGGTGAGCCTCTTTTGCTCTCACCTGAATGACTGGTGAGGAAAATTGTGCACCTAAGTCTCAATCTCTTCAATTCCTAAGAAAGTAACTTCATCAAATTTCCTACCAATTTAATTTCTGCCCGAATGTCCTCCCTTCTACTGTGCCTGGTTTCTGCCCAGTCAGTCCCACTGGCATTGTGATGAGGGCCTCCCTCTGGCAGAGTTCTGTTTTAGCAGTGGAGAAAGGAATGACTTGAATATACTCAAATACTTTTAAATCGTTTTAAGAAGCCCTGAAGAGTGGTCCCAGGTCTGGGATCTTATGAATGATTCCTTCAGACTTGGGGACACTGTGTATGAACTAGTGACATCATATCATGGTCCCTTGTTGTTAATCCTTGGCAGACCAGGCCAGCTACTTTGCCTCATGGATTGAGCACAGGAATAGGTTCCTGATTACAGCTGCTGGGCAAATGGGAGCTTTCTTACAAAAATAAAATACCCTGGTCCTAATATTACATCTATTTAAGGAAAGGAACATGCCTTACATCCAGTTCCCCTCACAGAATCTTCTCCACAATTCAGTTCTAGCTAAAAAGGAACCTGTCTTGGAATAAACATGGTCTGATCTGTCCTTCTTCCTTCTTTCTGCTCTCCTCTCTTTTTTCCTTCTCTCACTCTCTCCTTCTCTCTCTCTCTCTCTCTCTCTTTCTCTCTCTCTCTCTCTCTCTCTGTTTCTTTCTCCTTCTTTCTTCTTTCCCTGAGAAAAGAGGATTAAACTACTGAGTACTGAACCTAGAGCTTTTACCTTGAGCTGCCACCCCAGCCCATCTGGGACTTTTACTTGTTTGAATTTTTTGCTTTTTGAGACAACGTCTTGCTATGATGCCAGGCGAGGCTTGAACTTGCAATCCTGCTATCTCAGCCTTCCTCACCTCTCAGGAGCTCAAAACAGGAAGTGGGTTTTACCTGTTAGGAGCCTTTAGTACCTTGGTAACTCTTTAAATGAACAGATCACAGGATTATAGGTTTGGGAACTGGAAGGAATCTCACAGATCACTCACTCCTCCAAGATTCCTTTTCCCAGAGAATGGACTGGTTCCTCACAAGAGATGTGTACAAAACCCTAAGGACACAACTGAAAGTGGATCTGTGTGGTTTGATAGTCCTGTGTTAGTTTAGAAAACCAGTTGAGCTCATGTCTGGGTTTGAGGGTAGGTATCCTGTTTTCTTTCAGAACTAAGGAAAACAAGCGTACCTCAAACCCTGTGTAAACTATAAATGGATTGTCAGAACCAGCTCCTGGTAACAATGAGTATGCCAGTCTTGATGGATGTTTGGACTTGGTTATGCTTCTAACTTATGCTGCCGTACTGGACACTTTACTTTTGATGAATACTAAAGATATTATCTATCTGACTTGCTAAATTTTACCTCTTTCATTTCAAATACTTCATTTAGAGCTGTTTTAAAACAAGCTCTGTATGATCCTTGGATACAAGAAAAAGTTTCTCAGTAAGTCTTAAAGAAATTGAGACCAAGGATGTAGATTAGTGGTAAAACACCTGCCCAGCCTACTCAAGACCTTTGATTCCCAGCACCTCCAAAAATATTAAAGATAAATCAAGCAGAGAGTTTTGAGACATTTAAAAAAAATAAAGAGGATGATTTCCAACCACTGACTTCTGAGACGGAGGCATCGATGTTTAATTTTGATCCATATGCTGAGAGCTTTTGGCCTTTATTATTCTGAGATATTTTCCCCCCTTTTGCAAAACCTTTCCATCCTGATTCAGAGGCCCCCCCCTCCGCCACCGAACACTGCCTTTCCATACTTTTCTCACCTACTTGAAATGGAAATAAATATCTGCAGCTTAAAATAGAGAAGCGATGGGGGTGGGGGCACGTAATCATTTGTTTATTGCATTTGATCACTGTTTTGAATAACAAGGTTTTCACTTCCTATGAAACCTTAGCATGAGGGAAAGCAGCAGCTGGACTCGGAGAGAAGAAGGCAGGAAGGGACTGGAGTGTTTGTAAACTCAAGAGTGGCCGCCCGCCGCCTGCCTGCCTGCCCTGCTGCTCCTAGCTGTCTTTACTACCTAAGGCTAGAAGTGGAAAAACTTGATTTGTGTGTTGTGCCTGCATTTTTTTTTTCCTTTCTTCTTCTCCACACCGCCCTCTGTACACCTGACCATCCACAAGCCTATCTGCTGCTGGCTCTATGGCAGGGAGCGCTGGAGAGCAGAAGAATGTGCCCAGGGAGGGAGCCCTCGGTACTTTTCCATTCACATCTCCATAGTGGCTTTTCTTGTTTATTTCAACCTCCACCCGCAGAAACCTTTCAGCTGCCTGAAATTCGAGTCATTAAACTGCTCCCTGAGGTCAGACTACAGAGGCCCGGTACGTGTTTCCTACATGTCAGGGTCCATGTAACCTATGTGCATACAGGGACCTAATCCTAAGTCCGAGGGAGCGTGGTGAGAGGGAGGAGAAAAAACAAAAAAATAAAAAAAATAAAAAACTGGACTTGTTGCCAAAAAACCCTTGGTTTCTAATTACAGCTCTGCCTGGAACTTTTTATGGAACGTTGAGCGAGGTTGCCTGTGAGGACTCGGTTTCCTCAGCT